AACTGGCCACTCTGACTGACCAGGACCCCTACGCTGATGGCCTTCCCTCTACCAAGGTGTTTACTAATTTAAGTGTTGACTTTGGCATAGATGGTTACACATTAAGATCACTCTGGGGACTTAAAAAATAAAAAGACTTCCAGACTCACCCCACCCCAGACAAATTAAATTAGAACTGCTTAGGAATCAGTTTTTTTTTTTTCCCCCCAATGCTTCTCAAGAGATTCTAATGTGCAGTCATGGTTGAGAAGGAGTGAGATAGACCATGGGGTTTGCGGTGAGAATTAAATCAGATCCTTTGTTCAACACTACACACATTTTTTGAGCTCCAAATCCAGGCCAGGCAGTGAAAAAAGGCATTTAGAGAAAACAATAAATAAAGTATGTTCAGAAACAATAATGTAAATTATGAAGAAGACAATAGTAGTAGTAGAGGGTACGGGGCTAGGAAGACTACACCCCCCCTTCCCCCGAGGAACTTGTGTTTGAACTAGAATCTGAGTAATCAGAAAAGCCCCTAATACCAGATTGGGCACGTTTCAGGCAGACCTTAGGCCCCCAGGCAGGTGTGTTTGAGAAAAAGAAAGGAGACCAGTGTGGTTGGCTAAGAAGAAGTTCAAGGAGGGGATAAAGCCAGACAGGAGGGCAGGGTGGAGCGTGAGGCCTAGTAGACCACAGTGAGGAGTGACGGCAAGCCACTGGAGCCTTTAAACAAGAGGAGCGATGTGATATAATTTCTGTTTTAAAAAGAAATCTCTGATTGCTATGTGGGTAACAGACTGGGAGGAGGCAAAGAATCAAAAGGGGGAGCAGTTAGGAATGGTGGTTTGGAGGAGGGCGCACTTGGTGGAATGGAGATGCATTTTTCATGCTCAGCACAGTGGCCAGCTGGTCATAGTTTCTGTCTTAGCTGTTCCTATTCATAGTCTCCTATCATTAGTAGTGGGATTGGAGGCTGATTTGGAAGCTGGGCTGGGAATCTGTGGGGCTGGGAGAGAGGGTGCCCAGGGAATCACAGAGGGGCCACAGGGGATGCCAGTCCACAGGGGCAGGTCCAAGGAGAACCGAGATCCATTTGTTCTGTGGAACAGAAGGGTCAGAAGTGGGGCTGAGGGCCCAGAGCCAGGGGTTGAACCAGAACCATGTGCCCAGAGCTTGGAGTTTGAAAAGTCAGCATCGAGCCAGGGCCAAAGTGTGAGGGGGAGGTGTTGGAGAAAAAGAGAAAGAGAGAGAATGGAGAGAGAGGAGGAGAGAGGGGAAGA